CTTCAGGTCACGTGATGGACACGGCTTTAGACGACCCCCTAATTTGGTATATCCCCTGACTGAAGTATGAAGAATCACTTGCAGATTTGAATAAATCGTTAAAGATTAACCGAAATTCTAGATGGACATTATGCATCCGTGGTGCGACTTATTGTATGTTAGAAAGATATGAAGAATCATTTGCTGATTTGAATAAAGTGTTAGAGGTGGCCCCAAATCACGCAAATGCATTAAAGTATCGTAGTAACACTTATCGTATGTTACGAAGATATGAAGAATCACTTGTAGATTTGAATAAATTATTAGAAATTGAACCAAACAATGCAGAAACATTAAGAATTCGTGGAGACATTTGTTTTAAATTAACAAAATATGAAGAATCACTTGCAGACCTGAATAAATCATTAAAGGTTGAACCAAACAATGCAGAAGCATTAAGAATTCGTGGAGAAATTTACTTTCAATTAAAAAAATATGAAGAATCACTTGCAGATTTGAATAAATCGTTAGAGATTAAACCAAATAACGCAGAAGCATTAAAAAGTCGTGGTAAAATTTATAGTATGTTAAAAAGATATGAAGAATCACTTATAAACTTGAATAAATCGTTAGAGATTGAACCAAACAATGCAGAAACATTAAAAATTCGTGGAGAAACCTACTTTAGATTAAACAAATATGAAGAATCACTTGCAGATTTAAATGAATCGTTAAAAATTAATCCAAATAAGATATCTACATTAAGCCGTCGTGGTGCAACTTCTCACATGATGAACAGATATGAAGAATATCTCGCGGACTTAAATAAATTGTTAAAAATTTTTCAAGATATGATACGTGAGTCAAAACACGGTGGAAAAACTTATCATATTGTTAGGGAATATGAAGACTTAATGGAATATTTAAATGAGTCATTATCAATTGAACCAAATGATAAGTTTGCATTAAAAAACCGTGGAGCAATTCACCACATTATGGGCAGATATAAGGAATCACTTATAGATTTAAATAAATTATTAGAAACTGACAATTATCGTATGGATCTCTTGCAATATAGGTGACCATTTAATAAAGTGTATGATTAATCAATTGTTTATAAAGTGGAGTCACCTATCTGCAAAAGATCCAACATTCGCATTGGATTAATTAGAACGACTTATCGTTCATCTTTAATAGCTTTATGATTATTTACACCAAGTAATAATAACGCTATGAAAATAATTTGAGCTAATAAGTTGTAAAAAATTGGATAAAGGCAATTGCATATATTCTTATTGAGTAAATTACAAAAAAGCAGCTGCAAACTTGAAACTATAGCGATAGTAAATAAAAGCGATCATTATTTACTTTTGATATTATTAATTAATAAACTTAGAATAATAGTAAATGTAATTAGAAACAGCTAAATAAAACAAATTTAGCATAAAATAATATATCGACCTAGTAAAAATTGATGAAATTTTTTTTATTTTAATTCTACAAATTCGTAAAATTAAAATAAAAAAATTTCATCAAATTCTACTAGGTGGCTGCAGAGATATCTTCGTTCAAAGTTTTAAACGCCTAACTAAATTGAAGCTGCGCCGAAACTATTTGAATCTTGAACGAAGATATCTCTGCAACTACCTAGTAGAATTAGATGGAAATTTTTTTTTATATTAATTCTATGAATTTGTAGAATCAAAATAAAAAAAAAATTCATCAAATTCTATCAGTTGGTTGTTAAGATATCTCCTTTCAAAGCTTTAGCCATCTAACAAAATAAATAGAAGTAATAAGTAAATAAATGCAAGAATTTAAATACACGCAGATATTAGCATTTATTATTTGTATTTTTTTTTTATTTAATAACTGTTGCTCTATCAAATTTTTCTATTTATCATCTTGGCTTCATATGACCAACTAACTAGCCAATTTTTATCTACTGTCTTAAGTATCTGACACATTTTGTAGAAGTCTTAACTAAATTAAAGCCTTATAGGATGCTTTGTCTGTTCATCCACCCAATTAGACTACAATCACCTTTTACAGTATACCAATACTTGTTTTTTTTTTTTTTTATTAAGGTGATCACTTTGGGGTTTGGCACATTTATGAATTTTAGGGCAACAATAGGGCTACCCCTGACTTTGTTACATTAATGAGGGTATATTTTAACTATATCTGCATCTTTTGAGTGCCTAATTTAAGTAGTCTGCCTATTACTAGGTTCTATACTAGATGTCATACCTATAACCTACTATTATTTAGATTATTCAATTAAACCTTCTGATCAACTTAGTGCCATCAGAATATTCTGCCCCAAAGAAGAATTGCTATTAAGGTTTTTTAAAACTATTTTATCCTTATAGTAAACCTACTAAAGCAGTTCATGTTCTATATATTATCACCTAGATTTTTAGTAACTTACATCTAGGCTGTAGCCAAGTATTTGAGGTGTTTTACCTCTGCTACTGTTACTTACTCCTTGCCTTTGCAAAGTTTATCCAAACCTCTGCACCCACTTTACAGACTATCAACAGTACTTTGATGCCAATTGTTAGTATTTCATACTTCTAATTCAGATGGCCCAGTAGAAACCAGTAGATGTCCTCTGGTATTTCGAATAAATTCTTTTTCTTCCAGTCATCTGGTGGCCTGGTTGGTGTAGTGTTTTTGCCAAACACTTAGTTCTCGTTTAGTTTACTTCTAGTGTCTGGTTCCTCAGATGATAGTCCTATATGTAACGGCATCAAATATCTGTGCTACCTCACTACTCAGAACTTTCCAAGCCGCTTTACTCAGAATTCGTATAACTCATACATCACACTATTATTCTACAACCTTCCAGTACAAGCTGATGCAACCAAGATTAGTATACCAATACTTGTTTTGCACCCATTTGTTTATTTTATTTATAGTAAGTTTCAAATGTTATTTTTTTTGTTATTTAGTTTTGACAATTTCTTTAATTACTAATTTACAATGTTTATAAATATTAAACCTACTTTTTTAAATTTTATCTGAAATATTTTTTATATATCAGCAGTTAGTAATTTTGTAGCATCATATGTGTATTTATAAAAAATATGTTTGCAAAATAAAAGGTAACAATTGTAAAAATCAAACTTAGTATTTCTTTCTCTTTTTCAAGTCTGGTTATTACAATATAGGCTTTCTTTACTAATAATTATTAAAATCTTATTTAATACTAAATATGTATAACTATATCTACTGCTAGAGAAAAGGTTTTTCTTTCTACAGTTAATGAATTAGAAGGTTGAACTAAAAATTAAACTAATAAATTTTTTGTATACACAAGGCTTAGAACTTAAGGATAATCATTTCAATATTTTTCATAAGCAAGAAGTTAATGGCAAAACTTTCCTTAAATTAAATATAAATAAACTAATACAAGATAGCTAAAATGAAGACTAGCTAAAAATATCTCAAAATTGATTAAAAAAATTAAAAGTAGAACAAGTAGTAATATAATTGCATTCAAATATTCAAAATCTATACTGCTTTCTTTACAATAATTTTATTTAACAAATATTATTCTAATGCTAATTTGAAATACAAATTGTTAATATCTTTTCTTTTATTTTGCTTGCTTAAGCCACTAGAATAACATTTTTGATTACTAATAAAATTGTAACAAAAATTGCTACAATATTAGAAAAGTTGACAGAAGAAAAAACTAAGACAGTAACAAAGATCAATACAATATTAGAAAAGTTGATAAAAGAAAAAACTAAAATTGTTTTATTTTTATCAATTAATTTGGAGAAATTTAATAAACTCCTTATACGTACTGAATTAGATATAATTTCTTTAACTTTAATTAAAAAATGTTTATTAAAGGATATAGTTGTTTACCAAAGGTCTAATCATACTGAAAGTTTCTTAAAACAATAGAACCAAATTTTAGTATATCTCAATAAAAACCTCAACTCATAATTTTCTAAGAATATTGTGATCTTTGATATCTTTAGTTTAAGAAACTTTCTTAATATAAATAATAATCTACTATAACTATTTAATATTAAAGATAGGACTGATCTTATATTTGCTGAAGAGAGTACTGTCTAGAAAAAAATTTCTATAGCTGATATTCATGCAGTTATCAAACTAAAGAAAGATATAAAAACTCATCATGTTTCACAGGTTATTTGTGAAATGATTTCAGCAGACCTTTATATATATAACAAGATTAAAGTTTTCAGAGTATTAACAGATTTAAATGAAACTTGAAATATTTATTAGATAGAAGAGAAACATATTAAAACTTTTGCATTAAACAGCCAAGAAAATGCAATAAGGTTAATTGAAAAAATAGCATCTGAAAATTCTAGTAAAGTAAATATATGTAGTTTTTCAAAAATACAATGTACAAAGTTTAAATATATATATAGTCTATCTAATAACAATATGGAAAAAATAGATGTTCCATATAATAAGAGGAGTAAAGATAGATAAATATAGATTATATAAAATCTTTAATTTATTTAAAAACAGTCTAATATTTTTAAGGATGCTTTATAATCCTATTATTAAATAATATAAAAATAAAAATATAAGAGTTGAAAAAAAATATATTATTGCTAAAATATCCTGATTAAAAATAGTTATTTTGCATTTTAAAATTTAAGCAATCATTATTTTTTTTATTTTTATTTTTTTAAAAAAGAGGTCTATCCTCTATCTCTTTTATTTAATAGTTAAATATATATATAAAAATATATGAAGAAGAAACTATACTATGGGAGATAAAGGTAAGACCTACTTTACTTATTCTTTGCTAGAATAGTCATTAGACCTTTAGTCTTTGATAAGGAAGCTGAGAGAAGACTGTCCTAATGTTATCTATTGGTTAATCTTATTATATATAAAAGTAGGTGTAAGTGGTTCAGTTTTATATAATATTAGAAGTTGTAGTGGAGGAGGCGGTGGAAGGATAGGGTTGTGTTGTGTTGCTCTGGATATAAGCTATACTTTTTTGTATATTGCGGTGATAATATTATAATGAATAAGAGGTGTATATTTGTATTTATTCTTGGTCTTCTCAAAGAGTGCTAAAGTTTCTTTAGTAATTAGCCCAAGAGGCATTTTTTTGTTAATATGAAGGTTAGTGAAGGCCTGAATAAAAGTGTCTAAATCAAAATAAGGTATCTTTATTTTCTATGAAGTCTTTTGTACCACTTGTATGATTAAGGTTGTTAGGCATAGGTTATTCTGAATACAAATTAGCAGATTGGCAATGTCTTCAGAGCCGTTGAAACATCTTGAGCAATAGTAGTCAGGATACTTTGTCATATTTCTCTAGTAAAGCAAGAGGTAGACAGGCAGTTCTTTTAATAGCAGTTTGACCTTGAAATTTTTTATTGCTGAAAAAAATGAGTCCGTATTTAGAGCTAGTGGTCTATTACTGTAGGTGATATATTGTAATGTCTGTGTCTAGTTGATGTTTTCTTGTAATATATACTAGTTTATAATTTGTTGTTGATTAAACCATACAAGTCGATTATTAATTTGGTGTATTTGTTTTAGTATATTTTTTAGCAGGTAGGTACAGAGATTGTTAAGTAGTCTTGGAACCAAATGGTTGTGTAGAAACTGCTGTGGTGCAGAGTCTAGTAAAAAAATAGTGTTTGTGGTTTTATAAATTTTGATGCCTTTGTCAAAGGTAGCTGTAATTTTCCAGTTATAAATTAGTATTCTTAGTATTAAGAGCAAATATGCATGTTGTTGTTTATCTAGTATAGAGTAGTTGTATGATTGAACTGAGTATGTGAGGTTGATTAGATTGGCAACCGAGAGATTATTTGTATGGATCTTAATAGGGGTTAATAAGTTTGTTGTTGTAAGGATGAAGTTCAACTGAGTAAGTAGTGTATATATGTGTGAAGGCCAAAGGTTAATATAATAGCCAAATAGGCATAGCTGTGTTGAAGATAACATTTTGTTACAATGTGCTAATTGTTTTCTATCGTTTGGTGAGTGCTTATCATAGTTAGTATTAGAGTTTTTGCTTTAAAATTAGTTTTTGTAAGTGTATCTCAGAGCAAAATAGAAGGATTTA